TCAGCAGGAGATGGAGCTCTGAAATCAGCCTGGGCAAGAGGAACAGCCCTGCTGGGGTAATGACTGCAATAAAACTGAATTTTAAGAGACTGGGCTGTGGATGAAGAAGAAACTGGGAAACTCAAGCTAGGGGGAACACAGCTAAAAATCCCACTTGCTTTACAAAGAGACCACTTCAGATACTGAGTCAGACTTATGAAGCTAGGAGGGGCGTGAAACAGATAGTGGTAGGTCAGATGTGTTAGGCCTGAAACTCATTTCTTTTAATGCACCAAGGTCATCGTTACAGTAGTTTGTTTGTGGCACTCACACAGTTTGTGATCCTGTTCCACAGAGAGAGAGAGAGAAGAAGAGCCCATATTTTACCCTGATAGGCAGAGTACTTGCCTAGAAAGCAAGGAGCCCAGGCCCTAGGCCCCTGTCTCACAAAGAGAGTTAGAACCTGCATTTATCTGACACCTGCCCCGCACAGTGCTTAAACCACCAGGCCACAAGTGAGCCATTACTTACTGCTATCTCTAGTCCTCCTCTTGAATCTGGGGTACCATATATTGCATTTGATATTCAATGAATGAGTGGAGAAAAGTGGGGAAGTTTCTGCTAATTGGGAGCAAAGATCTACGCTAGAACTAATGACCTTCTCCTTTCCAGAGCAACAGCAATCCCACTGAGTCATGCAACCTTTTAGTTTGTTCTCTTGGCTGCCAAGGGGGACAGCTGGATAATGCATAACTTCATGTCCCGTCCAGCCCTACGTCTCCATGATTCGACGTAGGTCCAAACATAATGTGAGTGACGGGAAGCTAAGATCTAGCTCTCCTGCCTTCTGGGCAAGTGCCTTAACAATAGGCCTATAGAGCTGAAACAAGGCAAGGCCCCTCCACCCACAAGTCACATGTTTTTGGCCAGCTGCAATTCTGTGACTCACACTCACCCAGGGGGTGTGCATACAGGACAGTGTACCTACCTGACACCGGGCACAACCCACTGCCCATGCTCAATAGCCACCTGGAATAGGTTTGCTAACTGTGCACGAGTGCCAAAAACAGCAGTTACGTGGCTGGACAAGTGCCATTTGGCTGCATAATGTGAAATAGGAGTCTACCCTGTGCGCCCTCAAAAATGATTCTCATAACAACCGAGCCTTCAGGAGGGAGACGGGGAATCAGCAGTTGGGTAGCAAATTGCCTGCCTCAGAAATCCCAAAGCCCTGCTGCATTTTCTGTCCTCCCCCACTCCCCACAAACTGGAGCTGTACTAGGGAGGAATGACTTTCAATGTGGGGCTGGTCCTAGGGAACCTCAGCCCCTCAATTAAAGGGCAGAAGGGCACTCACATCATCTCTGCACAGTGCCCATAACAGAAGATTACAGGAGCAGCGTCTGCCAGTCTGCATGGCTCTCTCCAGCTAAAGTGGGGAGGAGCCAAGGCTGTGAATTTTAAGCCTAGGTCCTTTATATCCTAAGTGTGTATGTGTGGGAAGAGGCAGGGCCATTTGAACTTTATTTTTTAAAGAAATTTTTCATGTTCCAAGCCAAATCAAGTCCAAATCCATGAGTCGGTCCAGAACCACACATGGCTCGACAACTGGCAGACATCTTCATATAGAGGTTGGGCCAATTGTGTTGTCCAAGCCTGACTTGGGATTCTGCCTCGGAGACCCCCTCCCTCTCCCTGAGGCAGAGAGGTTGGGGTCTCCCGGTCTCACTCCATTCTCCACCCCTCTTCTCTCTGATTTCCACTCACTAGGTCCCTCAGGGACCTCATTCACCCAGTTCCCCAGCTCATGCCACCTCACCAGCACCATGGCTGTTCCTTATCCTCCCCTGTCTGTCTGACTTTCTGCTCCCTCCTGGCCTGACAGATCTGGGTCTCCATGCTCCCCGCTCCCTCACTCCTAATGCCCAGGCCACCCCCCTTTCCCCACCATCCCAGTGTCTCCTGTGCTGCACATTTCAATGTCCTTGAAACAACCAAGGGCTGTATAGCTCCATCCTGGCTGGGCTGTGGCTGCTCTGCCAGCAGGACGGGGAGAGAAGCAGCTGAAGGAGGGTAAAAATAGAAAGTGGTTGAGTGAAACAGCCTTAAGGGAACCTTCCGGGGCTGGAAATCATTAGGGTGACTCCCCAGCTAAGCATTTGTCACGGGGGTGGCAGCGGGAGGGGGAGGGGGCACTATGCCAAGCACAAGCATCATGTAGGCATTTGGGACTCTGATCTCTCTCTCATCTCTTCCTCAGCTCCTTTCACTCCCTCAGTCTCCCTCTCTCTTTCTGCCTGCCTCTCCCTGACACACTTTTCTTTCTCATCCCCTTTTCCCTCCTCCTTCCCCCTTTCCAGCCTGCTTGTGTCTCCACCGGCCCATCTGCCTCCCTCCCCATTTACACGTGCAGCCAGCTTCCCACCTGTTCCTCGTGCTTCTCACGCAGTGCGTGGATGCTGGCAGAGGTAAAGGCAGCACAATGCGGGGCATGTATTTGCGAGCGTGCGTGTGTGTGGGTTAAGGACATGGTACTGACATCAGAAAGACAAAGCTGGAGAAACGAGTAACACAAAAAGAGTTTAAAAACCATCCCCCCCCTCCCCACTTTTGCTTGCAAGGAGTTAATGCTCTGATCTGTTGCGTGAGTTCTGATGAGAAGCTGGCTGACACGCAGCGCTGGAATAATGAAACGTAATACACATTAATAGGACCTCCCACTGTTTGATCGCTTCTGCTCCAGTAGCCCCATTGAAGATTTCACTTTTCTTTTAACAGTCAGAATAACAGAATGTGACATTAAGCCTTTTACATGCAGCAATTTATTTTAAAATATTGGGGCACTCAAAACAGTATCCAGAATGTTAAATAAGATATGCATGAGATGGAAATCAGAGTGGCGCTGCAGTAAGGAGACAGGAGTCAGACGAAGCTTTTCACAGGCAAAGGCAGCTCCACTTTTATTCTTAATTGCTATTTAAAGCACAAAGAAATAGTCAAGCTGGAGAGAAAAAAAACCTCTCTCTGTGCTTTGGGGTACTGGAGTGTCCGGGCCTCTCAGCTACTCTTCACTTCTCAGACCTGGAGGGGGAGAAAACCATCATTTCTTTCCACCTCCAACATCACGCAGATAATGTCATCCAGCTGGCTTTGCCCCCTCAAAGCCAGTGGGTTCTGCATTACAGATAATAGGCACATAGCTTGATCCAGTCCATAATGAACCTTTGGAAAGGTTCCCCAGTTGTCTGTAAAACAATACTGTGTGTTCATATCATGCCTTTATTCACAAAAGATCTCCACATGGTTTGCAAACTCCTTTTGGATATAAGTTGTTTTGCTTTTACACTAAAATGCAGCTGCCTCTGGGGTGGAATACAGCAAGAGGTTAACACTGCATAGCAGCTTGTGATAGAAAACAAACAGCACCATGCCAACACTTCAGCTGGTGTAAATTGGAATATTCCCATTGACTTCAAAGGAATTATGCTGATTTACCCCAGATGAGCACCTAGCTGAGCTTCCCCAATAGCATTGCTAGGGCAGCAATAGGTCGGCACTAGAATATAACTCTTAAAATCTATATCGGGTCAGGATGTACGTGCTCACTACAGTAGTAGTTTGGGGTACCTGGAGTTTTCAATGCATGAGATACAACTGTATTCTCTCCTATTTTATTCTAGTCCAGACTTCTTTTCAAAAGGACCTTATTGCTGAACATATTAAATACATATGCTTTACCCAGAACAGCAGTCCCTCAGGTAAATCTATCATAAGCCCATGCTCCCTCTATGAATTGTCTTTTTCCCCCACTGGTATTAGTGGAGCAATCAGACACCTTGGCCTTTCTCTTTTCCAAGGTGCAGCATTTCCCAAATCTCAACATGCAGATCTTATGCATTTTGGATCATTTCTATTCACCTGATTGACTCAGAGACCTGTCACTGGTGCTATGGTCTGGTGAGTAAATATCTCATTCAGCACACGTACCAATTTGGGAAATGCATAATACCTACCAGACAGGCTGTAATGGCTTGGAGGGAGGTGTTGAGATCCAGTGATGATGAAATCAACTCTTCCACAAGGCAGGCCTATGACTTTGGAGAGCTGATTGCACCACACTGCAGGAAGATAAAGTAGATACACATTTCATGGTCCCACCATGGCACCAGGCATGGATCAGCTGAGTCACCAGCATGTAGAAGGCTCTGCATGGCCAGGGAGTAGCAGGACCCTGATAAACATCTTCCTAGGTAAGGGGTTTCAGCCTTGTTTGCCCTACTGACTGCCCTACCTGGCATGAAACCTGCTGTACTCGCCTGCCCACCCCACCCAAAATCTCTTCCTTGTGCCTCTCTATCCGCAAGGAGGGAATGATGTCCCCTCAGCCAGCTGTATTCAGGTTTTATTTTAAATCTAGTCCATTCTCAAAGAGCTTGACCTATAAATAGTTTCAACACTCAGGCCAAGTTGTGATGTCCTTCTGCTCATGCTGAAAAGTGCCACACCTGAGAAGCGGTCCCACTGGTACCCTGGAAGCCACACTGCAGTAATTGTTAGCAATATCAGGAAAGCCACGAGCACCATTGCATCAGTCTCGCCTGCTGCTCAGAAGCTGCCTGGACACCCTGTGATGCATGTGACAAACCTCTTTTCTATAAGCTCTGCATCCTGTGGCCACTACAGCATACAACCTGCCGAGTCTAATGCTACTTGTGTACCTGCCTTGTTAAAAATGCCACTGTAGCCCCCTGATGCCCAGTGTGTTCCTGCATGCTGGTGCCCTGCTATGGCCAGACCGCTAGTGTACATCTGATAAAGTATCCCTGATGCTGGAACAACTCCACGATGCCAGTGTCATGAGGGCAGTGCCCAACTCAGAACTGCAAGCCATTCCCAGCAGCACCAAAACCATGTTTTCAAAACCAGTGAGTTAGGCCCAAAACATTTTGACGTGGACCTAAAAAGCACAACATCATTTTTAAAACGATACTTTTCCAGTTCTTTTTATTTCCCTTCCAGTTTTCTGTGCCCTTACTTATGTCTTCTTACATACATCTTCTATAAGGCTAAAAATGTACTTATTAAAAAAAAAAAGAAGCTGAAATTCTCATCTAATCACCTGACTCCAGGAGCTGGGGCTTTAAGAAAACATTAATTATAGTGACATCACAAGAAATGCCATTGTCACTTTGCCTTCCCTTCAGGTAAATGGTTTTGTCAGGATCTCTTCATCAATAGATGAAGTGATTGGGAAGCCCCCTAGGCCTCCAACAAGCTGAGACATGAAGTTGGGAACCTATTTCTCAAAGTGATCTCCTTAGTAGGGCATCAGGCTGCTCAGAGCCAGGAGCCTCCCAGCCCTCAAAGCAGCCGAGTACACAGACTTCAATAGAGATGGCATCACAGCCACAAATTGTTTTATTGAATTGGCTTGAATGAGATCTAGCAGGTGGGGGCAGAGATCCTAACAAGCATGACAAGGGCGATTGCATCCATCCCGAGCTGTCAAGGCAAAGAGAGCGGGCGAGTGAGGCCCGGGAGCTGTCAGCCTTCACAAGAGGGGTCAGCATGTCAGGCTGCTTGTCAGAGGCACAGATCTATTGGGTTTCAAGTGTCCTTAGTCAATTGTTCTCAACAAGCTGCCCAGGGGCTGCCTGCCCTTGCAGGAATTGGCTGCTCATTCTCCCCAAGTGGATCCTGCCTTGAGATTCCAGTCCATGCTCCTCAACTACCACCTCACAATGTGCTGCTGGGGAGAGCTGCAGGGCCCTATTTACATTTTGTCAGTGATGTGCATTGCTAATTCAGTGAGGCTGAGCATTGAGGGGTGGGAGGGCACTGCTGTCTCCTTGTTGGTTAGAGCTGGGCCTAAATCTGAAAACTGAAAACCTCGGCTTGAACTGAGTCACTACTGGGTTCACATTTCATGGGTATAGTCCAGGCATGGAGCGGGGAGACAGACTAGCCAAAGGGAGAAACAGCTACAGTCTCAGCAGTCCACTCCTTCCAGCTGAGACTTTGGGAGATTTCTCCATGCCAGTACCCAGCTCAAGCTGCTTCCTAACATCACAGGCCAAATGCACTGGGACTCCACTGAAATGAGGCCACCTGCTCCATGTCGATGGCTGAAACCCAGGGCAGAAAGCGGATGGTGATATTAAGCCTAATCATAAAAGTGGGTTTAAATACAAGGTGCAATAGAGCTCACCTGGTATACAGTTTTGCTCATGCTGGCAGCTCAAAGAAGATTTGTGAGGTTTGTGTAACCCTGCTTAGGTTATACAAGTTCGTCCGTGGTTATGTCCGTTACGTCTGTTGTGCATTCCTTCTCTGCATCCCCTAATTAGTATGCATGTTCAGAGGTTTGGGGACTACTTGCCTGTTTTTATTATTTAAGAGAGCAGGCTTCCCTAGGCTGCCTGCTTCCCCATCTCCACGTGCCACTCCCTGGCTGGCTGGGACACAGGGTGCCTCAGCATGGGGGCTCTGCAGCACGCGGAAATGGGAAAGCAAGCAGCCCTGGGCTGCCTGCTGCCCTGTCTCCACGTCTGTCTCGGTGCCTCAAATTAGCAGCATGATGAACAGGTGCACATGCACTGTGTGCGGTTTGCAGTGCCTCCAACAGGTTTGAGGTGCTACAAACTGCATATGTGCTCATCGGGACACACCCCTAGAGACAGAGCGGCATTTGAAAGGCACCAGCAGTGATGTGGAGCAGCAGGTCTCAGTGGCAGAGCAGTGGTGACCCCTGACGGAGGAGATGAAGGAGCAGTGACACCCCACAATGGAGCAGCGCTGAACTCTGACGCAGGCCTTGCTTCCAAGCACCTGCATCTTTTGACTGGCACAGGCGGAAGAGCCCCTGACTGGCAGCGCTATATGAGTCTCCCATCCCAACAGCCTGGGATAGGTAACACCCCTGGGCTGGTTTTCCAGTGAGTGAGAGAAAAACTTAACTGTCTGGGATTTCTATTATTTTCTTCAGGGTTGTGTATTGTCCCCTTTGCTCTTTAGTAAACCCTGTTTTAGTTGATTATTGCTTGTGAGTGGGGAAAGTCTGTTTGCTGTAGAAATGTAGCTGCAATTTATTTTCCCAGGCTTCTGAACAGAACGAATGGAGTCAGAATAGAAAGTTTGTGTAAACCCTTAAATTTGTACCCAGCCATTGTTACTGCTGTCCAGCGCCTAGTAGAAGAGCTACATATGCAAAATTGTATTTTCCTCTCTCAGAGAGATTGCTGGGAAATTCTGTAGCCATTTATATAAGGGGTGAGGTTAGATTAATGTAATTAACAGTTGTGGCCTGAGGGTATGTGCATGTGAACTAATTACTGCAAGGTAAAGGGGATTGGGTATTCACTGTCCATCACCTACTCTGGGGTAACTACCCAAGTGCATGAAGTTCCATGAAAGCCAAATCATAGTAGCTTACCTCTCTCACTGCTAGCTAAGCCACTGTGACTTAGCTTTCATTTACTGTGAAGTAAAAGTGTACACATGAGCAGTCTCTGCAAAGTAGCAGATGCACAAAAAAAGAACTTGACCCTGATACTTTAGCATAACTAGTTCATGTGCATTTACTGTTAGAAACTGGGGGTCTGCTACTCCGTTGGCATCAAGGAGCTTTGTCTCATTGACATCAAAAGATATGTGCCAATTTGCATCAGCTGAAGTTCTGCCCCAAGAGTCTCTGAACTGCAAAAGGTTCATCCACAGTTTTGTTTCTCAATGCAAAGAAGGTAGGCTAGTGGTTACCACTGGAGCTGACCAAGAATTTCCCATCAGACTGATGCTTGGATGGAGAAGGTCCTTCTCCTCAAATTCTCAGTAAATTCCATAAGGAAATTACAATGTTGATTGTCCATTGGGAAATTCAAAATGACAGCTGCTTGGGTGCCTGTCTGGATGCTCTTGTCAACTCCACTTAGTGAGAATTAACAGGCACCTTCCATGTAAGCAGCTTGCAAGCTGAACAATTCCTTTTTAGTTCTCCCAAAGTGGAATTTTCCTAGATAGCCCTTCCCACCAATAATCTTATATCTTTGATGTTCAGTCCAGATTCAAGATGAAAATTTCTTCTAGGCCTTGATGTATTTTTCAAGGAAGGTAGGTTTTGGGGCTCCCCCCTCCCAGGCACCTCTAATCATCATGTAATGCTATAATGGCAGTAACTAGAGACGCTCCCAGGATTATGTGACCCAGCTCTGACCCCTTCTGAAGGGGGTCACTCCTGGTGCCCAAAACCAATGTTCTGCTGCTTGTGACACTGTCCAGACAGAGCCTTTCAAGCCCTATTACCCCCCAGTGCCTGGTGCCACTGCATGGAGCCAGAAGGAATTTTCTCAAGAGTAATTATGTAGAGGGACAATTGGTACAACCCCATCTGTTCCTACTTTAAGCAAGGATTTCCCTCAATGCTTCAGGCTCAGAAGAATGTCAAAAGCTTTCGGCTGATATCTTCTGTGTTTTTGTGTGTCCCAGAGCTATAAGGCCCAGCCCATGATTTCGGAGTAAGTTCTGCAACAGCACCTGGAACAAACCAAGTTTCTAGAGGCCATGGGATTTATGCCACTGCATACCCTAATCAGCAGGCTAGTGAGCTATGTGAGTGGGTTGTAGCCTCCTCCTCTCCCTCCCCCCCACCCCCCGCCCTCATTTTGGGAACTTTTAAATAGAATTACACACTTTCCCAGGTGGAATAAGATTGCAACAGCAGCCGTATGACAACTAGAATAGTCCTCAGGCTCAGAAGGACAAGTCTAGCTGTGCAAGGCACAGTAGATTAATAGCTGCTTAAGTGGTACATAGATGCCTGACAGGAGAGTTAGAGTTAAGTCTTAGTCTCTTCTCTTAATGCCTCATGTCTTGTTGGTGCACTGGGGCTAACACCACTGCTCTGCTATGCAAGGGCCTGCATTAACAATAATGAGGGACTTGGATACTGGGATCTTAAGGAGGATGTAGAAGCAGTGAAGGCAGGGTCTGGTCTATATGGCTGGATAGTCCCAGAAAAGGGGTATAATGAGGGGCAATACTTCTAGCCCCCAATAAGGCAAATTTCCAGTGAGGACAGGTGGTGAAATGCTGCTCTCAGGGAGTACTAGATTCCCTCCCAAAGAATTCCTGAGCTTGGCCCCAATGCTCAGCACAAAGCAACTGCTTTTGTCCCCCTTCTCTGGCCAGTACAGAGGGCAAGGCTGTAGCAAGGTGCTGCTATCTCAGACTATTTGCTGCACTGATGCCAGGGGTCCTGGGACATGCTTTTGTGCTGCAGTGGCCTTTTAGCAGCTTTCTGAACTCTACCCCTGCTCCTATGGGTGCCTAAGCACTTCCTTTCTCACTCCCACATCAGTGAACAGTTGCTGCAGCTGTTCTCTAGTCCTGGAACAATCCTGCTTTCCTGTACAGATAAGCAGGGAGCCAAAACAAGGCTATGTGCCTTAAATGACCAATCACATCATGCAAAGGATGAGGAGATAAGCATCATACAGGGCTCTTAGCAAATGGCAGAAGGCTAAACTTTCAGTCAGGCATGCAGCCAGCTCTAGCTGACCCATGGGTGAGATGACTGAGAGGTCACTGGAGGGAATTTGACATGAAGTGGGAAGGAAGATGGCTACTTGGTCTCAGAACCTACAGTTTTCTTGGACTCCAGGATTTATCCCACAATTTACCACCAATTTCCCAGAATGTCAAGAAACTGGGAGCAATGCAAGGCACCCTAGGAGACCCACCTGCACCAGACAATGCTTAACCGAGGCAGTACTATGCTGCAGAGTACTATGCTGCCTGCCAATGTGATGTTCCTTGCCCTGGTGCAAGCCTAATATGTCTGCATGGAAAACTGCAGTGATTTAATTAACCCGTTTAGCTAAGCTAAAGCAATACAGAGCAGAGTTAAATCGGTGTAAGCACCCACACACAAGATTGCACTGGTTTGACTTCATACTGTTTGGGCTTGTCTACACACAGGATAACAACAGTTTAACTTCAGGTATCATTTTAGTTCCAGCAGTGCAAAAAGCTGTACTGACATTTTCATTTCAGTTTTCACTTTCCATTTCTACATTGCAAAGTGCTCCACAGAACTGAGGAAGAAGGACAATTAAAAGGCTTTTGGAAACCTGACACTGGAACAGAAATGTTACTAGGCATGGGCAACTGGGGCACCAGCCCTGGGTGCTGACATAGAGAGGGCACAAGAATGACAGCTGCTGCTGGCCTGGCTGTTGCAGCCTCTGCGACTGTCCCAGCTACCACTGCCACCCCTGCTGCCCCTGCCACCCAAAGAACAGACCCAGTCTGCTATGCCTCTGCACTTCAATACATGGGGCTCCTTTTGATCAGACTCCATCTGAGAGGAGAAACTAGAATTTGCTTGGAGCACAGTTTAAGCTGAAAACAGGGCTGCAGCTGTCTTAGTAATAAGTGAAGGCAGGGAGTTCTGTGGCGTTGCTCTCATGAACACAAGTGTCACGAATCTTCAGGCTAAACGCTTGGTTCAGCTAAAATGATCCATTTAGCAGAATCCTCCATCCAAAGCTGGAGGCTACTATACCTGTCTCTTGGCATGTTAGGGCCATTAAGCTGAAGACCAAGGTTGTTCCCCAGGCAGTAGCCAAGAAGGGATCCTTAGACTGAAGAAGCCTGTCTCACCAGATGGCAGAGTTGTACCCCATTGTCTGCACCGGGGGGGGAGCCAGCCCCAGTGCAATCGACTCTCTTGGGTTTAGACTCTGACTCATGACTGAATGCTCCTGATGATAGAGAGATATAAATTGACCAAGCTTTTCCCATGCTGCCTAATAAACACTAGGTAGCATCAGTCAGAAGTGCTGATCTCCCCTTCCAACTCACCCTAGCAATCTACATAGATTTATTCAAAGGGAACTCAAAAGATACATAATAATTATCCTTTGTGTCTTCTTGCTGTCTGCACAGCCACACAATGTCCTGAGGGCTCAGGTGGCTGGTGACAGAGTGTCTTGCTCAATGTTACTCTTGACCATTTTAAAGATCTTACATGAGGCAAGCACTAGATATTATTGAAGGTCCTTATTTAAAAAAATGGGTACATACAAAGGGAACTTGAGCACACTTGGATTTACAGGAGATGCTCGCCTGCTGAGCTGCCATGGTCAAAGACAGGAGCTACAGGGAGAAGGGCACTGCATCATTAAAGGTGTAGCAGGAAGCTGGACAGGAGCAGGGCTGGGGACAGTGAGTGGTGGAAGGTGTACAGCAAAGGAGACAGAGGGCTGGGACAGATTCAATGATACATGTGTTTCCCTCATTCTAACAAAACCCCTTGTTCAGGTACAGTAAAAAATATATATCTTGATGTGGCCCTTTGCTGTTGCCCCATGTCAAGGACAGACAAGTACTTGTATCTAGAGGACACTCCCCACTTTAGGCAGCATTACAAACCCTGATCTGAGGCTCCTGAGGCGCTCAAGAGTGGATGGTTTGTACTCTCACGAGCAATATCAAGTAGAGCCTGAATCTCAGACTGTTGGAAAGTCTATATACAGGAACTCCCTACCTCTAGGAGCTCCCAGTCTGAACAGATTTAACAACCAAACAAAGGAAAGAGAAACAGAGGTACAGAAAGAGGTGAGGTGACTTGCCCAAGGTCACACAGCAGGATAGTAGCAGAGCCCAAGCCTCCATGGTCCAGAACTCTGTCCCTTGGGCCTCAGTGCCTTGGATAATGCTGTCCAGTGGCTTTGTCTGCATGGTTTGCCAAGGCCCACAGCAAAGTGAAAAAAGAAAATGTCAGCTCCCCGCTCCTAGCTGGTAAAAATCCAGGGGTGCGATTAGATTTCAGGCCCACCTGGGAACTTTAACATTCAGCAGCTGGTGCTGGCAGAGCAGTAAGAGGTGGATGTGGCAATGGGGTACCCCCAGGGCTGCCATGGCAGGCAAAATTTTCCCTTGCATCAGTCTGCTGAGAGAAGTGGTTTTCAACCTTTTTTCATTTGCAGACCCCAAAACAATTTCAAATGGAAGTGTGGACCCCATTAGAAATTTTGAATGGGGGTACGGGACCCCTTTGAATTGTAAGTGTGGGTATTTACATACTTCTGATTAATCATTGGCATCTTTCGAGGACCCCTTAGACCTAGTCTGTGGACTCCCAGGGGTCTGTTGACCATAGGTTTAACCACTGGCCTAGAACAACCGCCACACTGCTTCCTCTAACCCTCATGGGCACTCACCACCTAGGCTAGGGACAGAAATTACACATAAACCAATGTAAGTGATCAGAAACTGGTTCAAATCTGTAACACAACAGAAGTTCAATGCACATAAACCACTTTCAAAATGGCCAAAACCAGTTTAAACCTGGGTGGATCAGACTTAACTGATTTAGGTTAAATTGGTTTATTGAACTTCTATCCCAGTCCCCTCCAGACTCAAGTTAATTCACAGCCCCCGCAAACCTCCCCTCACAGGGTGGGAGGGCTAGCCTTGTCCCAAGCTGTCTACTCCAGCTGAGCAGCGAGGCCTGCTCTAGCACAGCCCCGGCTTCTAGCCCCTGCCACTTCAGGGATGTGGTTACATTTCCAGAATCAAAAGTAAATGTCTGTTCATTTGCTTATTGATTCCCTCTACACAGCTTAGACTAACCTGTGAAGATTGAATCAATTCAGCCTCGGGATTTTTGACTGTCTATACTTGGCTCTAGTGACTAGCAAAAGTTGCAACTTTTCAGCTGCTAAAAAGTTGGCCCTGATTCATCTCATTCCCCCTTCCCCTTCTCAGAGTCTTTCTACGAAGACCCCCCGCAGGCTCTTCTGGGCAGCAGTTGCTCACCCAGGCCACTAGTCCCCAGTAATTCTTGGGGGATAGTTGTTGCTACCTTTGCTTCTATTTACTACTCACCAAAGCTCGCTGGGGACCTGTAGGACATGGTGATTCCAAGGTTCACTGGAGACCTCCCCTTGTAATTGTGACTTCATAGCTCTGGTTTGTAGCCTTCCTGCTTGGGAACTCAGCCTGGAATACTAGCTACAATTTTTAATTTGCCAAGAAAGTCCTCTTTTTAGTTTACAGGGACAGAAGGGGGACTTTTATGTGCAATCTGTACAGCTCTCCAGAAAGCACTTACATTTATGATGTTCATGAAATTTATAGCCAGTTGGCAATGCTGCTCTCTTCTCTCCTCTCCACCAGCCACCCTGGCAGGATGGCAGAATATAATAAGCAAGCCACACATTCAAGTGGCATAAAAGGTATTTTTACAAGTTAGCCTCCTGCCCAGTCTTATAAACTCTAACAAGTCTCTAACAAGCAGGCAGGATCTCTTTATACCCAGGGAGAAAAATCCTTTTCAAAAATGGCCTTTTCACAAAGCCCACACCTTTCTTCTAATTAAGGTTAAATAGCTCCATGTTTTCTGGCCAATTTCATTCTTTTCCCTTATTCCCCTCTTAACAAGGCAGCCTTTAAAAAGGCATCACTAATTGGTGTCTGCTTCTCACATACCATGCATGCTTTGATAGTCAGTTAGAATGCCTTCCCCCATCGATCAAACTTGTACTGAAAGCCTGCTAATGTGCTCCATGTGTCTGCCACAGGACAAAGCAGAGTGGAGGGTCCCCAGCTCCCTTCTCTTCCTGTTCCCACATGCCCCGCACGCACCTCCCAGCAACAAGAGTCCAGAGCCAGCTCTGCCCAAATTACCCCTGTCCCCTGCCTTCCTGGGAATAGCCGGGAAGCCTGTCCCCAGCATTGAGAGTGCACAGCAAAGAAACGACTGCACTCCGTGTGTGGCAATTTGGAAATTAATGGGGAGTGGTTAGATGTTAAGAGTAGGATCTAAAACAGAAAGCGGGAGAGAGCAATTGTCATGTTGATGAACCTGGATGCAGGCCAGTGAGCGTTCCTGCAAATCCCAGCCTCCCCATCACTTTTTTTGGTTATTAAACGAAAGGCTCATGGGGAGGGGCACAGGGGAAATGTTACCATTTAAAGGAACAATGCTCCCATTTCACCCCCTGCCTCTGCAAAGAAAATATATAGGAGAGAGAATCCCATGTGCCGTGCCTCTCTTCCAACCACCCCCCCACGCACATGCTGGCATCTTAACAACACAGACTGCATCTGTAACTGTTGAAATCTGCAGCTAATCAGCCTTTCCCCAGCCAGCAGGTCAAAGCTGTCACTGTGCCCTTGTGGAAAGGCTGTGGGATGCTACAGGATCATCATCATTACAAGTGCTGTTCGTCCACCGTCCACCGCTAACCAAATGCTCTCCCTTGCTGCTACATGCCCATAAACCGAGTCTCCTTTGCATCTGCTCTGCCCCTGATTTTGCACTCACTCTCACAGCCTTCGCCAGCCCTTCCAAAGCAAACGTAGCACCTTGAATCTGCCTTCCTGCTTTTTGTTCTTGCTCGTTCCACAGCTGTTTCCATGCCTCAGTTAGTTGCCATTTGGGGTTTATGGGTTCAAATCATCCCCAGGCCTTTGGCTATAGCCATTGCTAACACAACCATGTGCACTGCTATAACATACGGAACAATGATATGTTAAAATCCCAGAGTACTGGGTGCAGCTCCTTTTAACTCTCCTCAAACAGAGATATACACGGAGGTAGGTCTGAACTCTTTTTCTCCATTGTTCCAGTCAGGCCTTCAGTGCAGGGCTAACGATCCTCTGGGATTAGTTGGAGATCTGGCCAGCCCTGGGTATATGTTAGAGCAGACTAGGAGCTGCTCTATGAGCCATCCACTCCTTACAGTTAGCTTAGCACAGTGCACTCCTGGCACTAGCCATCCCCCTAAGCCAGTGCTCATAAAGTGGGTTTGCTCCCCTTGGTGAATCTCCCTTACTCTGGACTATTTACCAGTGGCAACTTGTAGCTCCTTTAGAGTACTGGAGCCAAAAAGAGCAGAGTGACTTGAGCATGGTGACCAGTCTGGAAGCTTATTTGTGGCTCCAAAGTCCTGAAGCTCTCACACTACGTGCTTGTGTCTGCATGCTTGGTTCTGGTTTGTCCTTCCTTCCAAACTGCTCTGTCCAGCCCATCAGTGTATCCCTGCCCAGGGGGAAATTCAGAGCCTTCCCCCTCCAGTGGGGTCATAGACATATGCAGCTTCTGGTGCTGTGTGCTCCATCTCCTCTAGCTGGTGTTTCAAGAGGGCTGGGGGTTCAGACCCTGTCTTTGTCCTGCCCCTGTAGAGTGGACAGCTCCCTAGAGCAGGAAGCCTAGGAAGGGAAAGCTGCTTATTCCCTCCAACTCTTGTTGTGCCCATCCACAAGGTTCAGCCACAAATGGGCCCAGAAAGGCAGCAGGGAAGTCCCATGCCCAGACCAATAGCCCTTGTCTGAATCTGGGGCCAGTGTCTCTGCAGTGTAAGCTAGCACAGCTGAGAGCATGGAGTCGGTAGAACTGGCTTCTCCTCTGCTTCGTGACAGCTAGTGGCCAAAATTTTCCTTCTTACTGCTCAGCACGTGCTATCCAGCCTGACCCTCTGAATGTTTTCTGGCCCTCCTGCAGCACAGACTCTCCATGCCCACCTGCAAAGCAGCTGCCCCCTCCTCCCCATTCACTTCAGCACTGTGTCAGGGAAGCACAGGGGCTCCCTCTCTGGAACAAGCAGGAGGGGCTGCAATATGTAAAGGTATAAATGATAGATAAATACCCAGCTCCCAAGAGCCTGAGAAGGCAACACTGCTGGAAACCCCCAGATTTCTGATCCTTCCTCCATAACAGAAGTGGGGCAGCATCGACAGACCCTTGTCAATTTTTCAAAGATTTCCATTCCTCACTCCAAAAAGTGGGGCTCAATGTTTGTGGTGATGGTGACATGAGCCCTTTCCCACTGGGAACATCCCAGTCTGCACCATCTCCTCATTGTGACCAGCCTCTACCAGCTTCACCCATGCACTGAGCAAGAGCAGGATGGCACTTCAAGGCACAGCTGCGATTAAGGAGCTGTGCTTGCATGGAGAACTAACCCCAGGGAATTCCAAAAGGGTTGGGGACCCAGGCACTCCTCAGTCAAGTTTTTTTTTTTTTTCCCCTGGGACCATCCTTGCTCCCTGGGCAGGCAGTTCAGCTGCTAACCTAGTTTAGCAGGAACTGGGACACCCCTCACTCAGTTTCAGGTACCTCCACCAGCATGGAGGTGCTGGTGCCAGCACTCTACACATTCCTACCCTCCTGCTCACCTGCTCTGGAGGCAGCTTACTGGGGAGCAGCCAAGCTCTGGGTAGCAGGTGTGCAGGGACAAGGAGGTTCTGACGGCCTCTCAGTCATGAGTGACTGGTGCCTCCTGAATCTGGGGGGGCACCCGCAGAAGCCACTGCCGGCAGCAGCCCTGTTGGGGTGGCACCAGCCCTACCAACAGCATCAGTGTTGGCTGTCAGGGGGGCCCACTGGCCCCATCAAGGGGGGGGGGGGGCATGTGCACCCCTGTACACCCCCTACCAGTCACCGATGCTCTCAGTCCCCTGCACACATTTGCAGTTTGAAATATAATCCAACCACACAGTGCCATCCACCAGGGGAGTGGCAGAATTGAGCTCTCTCTTGTCTCTCTGCCTCTACAGCCTGGATGCTCATTTACCACTTCTCTGGGAAGCTCTTGTGTTGCCCTGTGAGCTCCCAGCCCCACTCCTAGCTTACTTGCTGTAATGAACTGCCATTTCACATAAGGAGCTGGGCAAGTTATCTGGCTGACACTTGGTTGCAGTTTGGTTTCTGATACCCCCTCCTTATGACAGCAGTAGGAAAGATGCAAGGAAGAAGCTGCCTCACTGTCTCTCTTGCCATATCACGGCTGGCAGGCGTGCTTTCCTGCATGGGTCTCACATAGCAAGTATGACCACTCTAGTAAACTCCCTCCTGCCCCCCCCAGCTTGCTGGTATTTGACACAGCCACTTCCTTGGGAAGATTGCCAGGTAAGAGATTCCATGTATGCATTTCAGTGACTCTAAACAATGGATAAATGGCACACCTGCTTGTGCAAAGTTCATTTAAATGGCACTCCTGGTGCTGTCTGCAGCCAGCTCACAGTAGTTAACAGGTGTGAATTGGTAGCTACTAGCATATATTTTCCACTGTGCAGCCCTTTGTTCAGTTCCTGCTGTTTCCCTGGCTCAGTTCTGGCTGCCAAACACATAAATCTTTCCTTAGTTGAGAAAGTTAAAATCTTTGCAGCATTTGACTTTGCTGCAGCCTCTCCATGTCTCTCCCCGAACAACACGGTGTGGTGCATCTTCAGGGGCCTTGGATAATCTGGACAGAAATGGAATGGGCACATTTTTGCCTTCACCAAAGTTTGCCATTGAAACAGAGACATCCTGCATCTGCACAGGTCTCCCTGTTTGTTCTCTATAGTGATCATCAGCTCATTCATTGACTTTTATCATGCTGCAGCACCTTGCATAGGGAAGAAATTCAGCTACACACAACAATCTTAGCTAAGGCTTTCCATGAACATTACACCCATCTTCATGCGAGAGATGACCAAAAGCTGCTGCCAATTTGCCAGTGGCTGTGACAGGGTTAAACTTCCAGCTTTAAGCTGAGCAGCAAACTCCAGCCCTTCCCATGTGGCCAGAGGAAGCCAGCCCCTGGCAGCTGTTCCAGCATCCCCAGGCCTTCATTCTGGCATGGAAGTCATCTCCCCTCTCTTAAAATCCTCCCCCCAACACACACATAATTTCAGATGTCTAATTTTTGGAGAAAGGGTGGGTGCACTTGCCATGAAAATAAATATGTTAGTCTATTAGTAGTGCATAGGCCCCCTGCCCAGGATGGAGCTTGTACACTGCTTCCCAAGTTTCTAGCTGCTCCTGACAATACAGTTGCTGCAACTACACCATTGTTACACTGTTTCTGCAAGGTAACTACATTGCGGTTATCCATTCCTGTAATTACCAATTACTAGCATGAGCAGACAGCTAACACACGCGCCCAGGCTGTAAGAAATCAAAGGTCAATTCCCTAGTCTTGCTTAAGAGCCAGATCTTCAAAGGAGTTAGATGCCAATGGGAGCTGGGTTTCTAAATCTCTTTGTGGATCTGGTTCTTAGTCTTCCTCTGCTACAGTTCTCTTATTTCTGCAATGGGAATAACAGCTTTGCTATATTTTACAGGGGGTATAAGGATAAATGCCTTAAAGACTGTGGTCTGCTCACATGCCATGGCGATGTCTGCCAAGTAAGTTCTTAAGACGGTAACTATTGAATTATTATCATCATTACCCCTTTAGTTTCATATTTAGTTTGTGACAGATATGCATTTTGATACATAATAGGGATGTTTTTGACATATGCATCTAACCCCATAATCTACTACGCAATTTCAGGTATGATTCAAAGTTCGCTACAGTCAATGG